AAGAAAAAGAGAGAGAAAGGGCTGGAGAGATGGCTCAGAGGTTAAGAGCATTGCCTGCTCTTCCAAAGGTCCTGAGTTCAATTCCCAGCAACCACATGGTGGCTCACAACAATCTGTAATGGGGTCTGGTGCCCTCTTCTGGCCTTCAGGCATACACACAGACAGAATATTGTATACATAATAAATAAGTAAATATTTGAAAAAAAAAAGAGAGGAAAACATGTAAACAAGTCAGGAGTGGTGATGCACTCTGGAGGGAGAAGCAGACAGATCTGAGAGTTCAAGGTCAGCTTGCTCTATACAGTGAGTTCCAGATCAGCCAGGCATACATAGAGAGACTCTACCAAAAAATGGGTTAGGAGAGATGGCACAGTGGCTCAGACTGCCTTACCAGAGTTCAGTTCCTAGCACCAATGCTGGACAGCTCACATCCCCTGCAACTCTAGCTAAGGGGGAGGGGGGGCGCTGCGGGGTTGGAGGGCTTGAAGCCACTGCTCTCAGAAGGCAAACACACAAGCATACTCAGAATGAAATAAATCAGGCAGAGTACAGTGGTGCTCACCTTTAATCCTAGCAGTGGAGACACAGAGGCCAGACAGACCTGTGAGTTCGAGGACAGCCTGGTCCACATATCAAGTTCTAGAACAGCCAGGGCTATCTCGTGAGACTTTGTTTCAAAAATAAATAAAAACTGTCTCCTTATCATATCAATCTCAAAAATAAGACACGAAGCTCTGTCACAGTGGTGCACATCTATAGTCTTAGTCCTTGAAAGGAAGTTTAAAGCATGCCTCACTTACGTGGGACCCTGTCTCAGAGAAATCAAAGAAAAATCAAGTCAGGTGGTGGTGGTGCACACCTTTAATCCCAGCACATGGGAGGCAGAGGCAGGCAGATCTCTGTGAGTTCGAGGTCAGCCTGGGCTACACAGAACCATTTCTACACAGAGAAACCCTGTCTCCAAAAGAAAAATCAAAACACACAATGGCAACAAAAATTTGGCCTAGGACAAAGAATCCTCTTTCCAGAACCAGGTCAGAGAGAACTAAAGCCTGTGTTTTACAATGCATGCTGGAAGTCAGCCTGCAGTGTTTGGGCAGGCTACTCACAGCCCGAGCAGAGCAGTCCAGACCTCACACGCCGACCCCTAATGCTAACAGTAGTTCTGTCATTTTCCTTTAAAAATGTTTAACTATGGAATTATTTAAGTGCTTGAGTGACACAGACAGACGCACCATGGCTTTGGTGTCAGAGAACAAATGAAGAAATTGATTCTGTCTTTCCAACATTTGGGATGGGAGTGGTCATCAGGCCTGGTGGTCAAGTGCCTTTACCTGCTGAGCCACCTTGCTGGCTCCCACTTGTCCCTTTCTATCAGTAGAAGTCCTACTTGCCTACAGGTCCACTAATTATTCAGACAGGAAGACCATAAAAAATAACACTCAAACCTCCAAAAAGGACTGAGTCGCCAAACAGAAAACAACGAATAGTCTTAGCTTTCTGTCTCAGCTTATTTTATTACGTAACTTTTGGTTGGTTTCAAACTCACAGAGATCCATCTGCCTCTGCCTCCAGAATGATGTAAATAAGGTAACTGCCAACATGCCTAGCTTATAAAACTTATTTTTAAAGATTGCTTTTATGTCTGAGCATGCCATGTGTGTGCAGGTGCCCAAGAAGATCAGAAGAGGGCGTAGGATCCCCTGGACCTGGAGGTAAAGGTCATTGTAAGGCCACCCTGTGAGGGTGCTGGGAACCAAACTCAGGTCTTCTACAAGAGTAGTTCCCACTCTTAACGGATTCGCCATCTCTCTAGATTCAATTTACTGTTTTTTAACGTATTAACCTTTACTACTTTTAATTTTGAAAGTTATGCCTTGTCTGGTGAAAAGGTCCAGCAAGTAAAAGCACTTTCTGCCAAGCCTGATGATCTGCATTTGTAGGAGAAAAAAAAAATGAAGGCGTATAAACTGTCCTGACATCCAGAGTGTGACATGCACCAGACACAAGTTGTCACACAAACACTAAAGTACTGATGTGTCACCTCAACACTTTCCTTGAAATACTAAATGATTTCCTTACTGCTGCTAGTTTGCTTTTGTTTTCAGCTCCTAAGACTCTGCTCTAGGTTTTACAAGAATCCTAAATCATGTGAAAAAATAAACTGGGTGTGGTGGGTCACGCTTGTAATCCAAGCATCACACATCATCAGTCCAAAAAATATAAACTGTCAGATTCTATCCATGTCTTCAGAATCACGATGTGATCTGCACCCAGGTAATAATGCCCCAGAGTCTGGGCAGCTGTGAGAATGGGCAGACGCTGAGAAGACACCGAGAAGCTGCCTCACTGCTTCAGATTCCACACCCTACTCATCCTCCCTGAAAGTACTGACATGAGGCACAGGAATTACTGTGTGGCTCTAGCTCACAGCCACGTCTGGTTTCCTGGGCTAGCATGCCCGGTTTCTAAGAACCAGAAATGTCATAGATCCCTTCTCAATTACACTGACCACACTCTTGTCCTTGAAGCCTGTCTATGCCCTGACTTCATATTCACTTGCTCCCAATTTAAAGGCAGGTAAGAACAAAGAGACTTATCTCACAATTAACACAAGGTAACCTCCACTTGGTCAAGGAAGGTAAATACAAGTTTCAGGTGTTAAGCAAAATTTCATGGGAGAAAAATGATTGCTTTGTTGAAATTAACTTCGGACTAGGGTTTATAGAAAACGGGTGATGGCGTGGACACGCTGCAAGTCACTGTTAATGCAAAACTGCACTGATCTTTTCAACTTTCCAAACATCCTCATCTAGAGAAGGAATTCTCACTGGTACAAAATTCCCTTCAGGGTGGATGAGGAGGATGGTACAAGCCTGTAACTCCAGCACCTGGGACAGACTTAATAGGGATCAAGAGTGTTGCCAGGTGGTGGCAGAGCGCGCCTCTAATCCCAAGCACTCAGGAGACAGAGGCAGGTGGATCTCTGAATCAAGGCTCATCTTGTCTACAAAGCAAGTTTCAGAACAGCTAGGATTAAGAGAAACCCTGCCTCAAAAACACAAAACAAAAACCTAAACCGAAGAAAGAGAAAGAATCCTGGACCAGACTGGGATACAGGATGAGATTCTGTCTGGGAAGAAAACAGCATTCCTTTTAGACGGGGCTAACTAAGCATCCTGACTTCAAAAGCCTCCAGGTGAACCGATGGTCCTACTCAATTCCTAGCCTACAGACCCAGACACCTGTGAAACACCAGGACAAAACCCAGGTCAAGTATGGATAGGTATAAACTACACACCTCCTGGCCAAGATCTATTTATCTGTCTACATAGACTGGGGGCAGGGGGGTAAAAATAATTTTTCCTTTCTAATTGTTTTTAATTTTTTCCCTTAACATGTAGTCCCCAGCTGGCCTGAAACTTTTGGGATGTAACCTCTTCCTAGATTCCTATCTCAGCTTCTTCAGTCCTGCAATTACAACCGTACATTAGTGAGGTAATTCCAGCACATGTGCACACAGGCGCACACACTCTGGAGGGCTATAAACCTTGGGTCTTACACATTCAAGGCAAACTATCTCTGAGCTGTATCTCCCAGAGTGACTTTAGGTGTCTTCCTCTACTGCCCTTCACCTCATTAATATTTTTTTACAGTCTCTCATTCAAATCTGTTTCTGCTAGCTGACTGGCAGAGTTCCCATCTTGTCCCCATTCTTCCTCATATCCCAGCACTGTGAGGGTTATAGGCACATGTAACATGTTTACACCGTGTGAAGATGTGTCACTGTGACACACCTAAATGGCCAACAGCTACAGCAGGGACTCTGGACAGAGAGCTCTGGGAATTAGCAAGGTGGTGTTGCCAGCAAGATGAGCAATGCAGAGTAAAGGCAGCCAATCCATATAAAGGAATATAGATTCCAAGAGATAGGTTCATTTAAGTTATAAGAGCTAGTGGGACAAGTCTAAGCCATAGGCTAAGCTTTAATTAATAACCTTCGCGTCATTTGTTTTTGTGAGCTGGCAGCCCCCCAGAAGAGTCTGTCTACAAGGTAAGGATATGAATTCAGGTCTTATGCTTGCCAAGAGCAAAGCACTTACCCTTTGAGTTCAAGTTTAATGGAACTCATTCTGTATGCAGCCCAGGTTGACCTTGAATTTGTTTTTTTGTTTTGTTTTCTTTTTTATATTTTTCGAAACAGGGTTTCTTTGTGTAACAGTCCTAGCTGTCCTGGAACTCCCTTTGTAGACCAGGCTGGTCTCAAACTCACAGAGAGATCTGCTTGCCTCTGCCTCCCAAATGCTGAAATTAAAGGTGTGCCACAGCGCTTGGCGACCTTGAATTTGTGATGATTCTACCGCCTCAGCTCCCAGTGTTGTTTTACAGTTGAAAGCCATCAAGATCTGCTTCTGGGCTTTGCTCATTTTAAGAGTACCCTTTACCCCTTTCCTTGGAGGCAAGGTGTCCTGTAGCTCAGTATGTAGCTTCTGTCTCCACTTCCCAAGTGCTGGGAAGACAGGCGCACACTGCCACAACCGATGCAAGGCAAGTACTTCACCAACTAAGTCCAAAAGACATCTAAGGTTTCCAGAATGGCAGCACAGTCATCCCCAAAATATTCTGAGATTTCCTAGGGCCCTAACAGACACGATAAACTCAAAAGGTAAATTCAGAGACTTTTTCAAGTTAAGTTGTGTTAAGACTATCTGGTCTGGGCGAGCAGCTCTGAAATGATCTAATTATAGGTCCGCTATTCTGCCAAAACACCGTCTAAAGCTTGCTTCATTTCCCAAGAGGATTCCTTACCCAGTTCCCTGGCAGCAGGAGTAGCATCAGACAAGGCAGGCAAATATCTACCAAGTAAAAAGTCTCCACCTTGTTTCTGGGTGCTCGCTCAGAAGAACCCCAAGATAAATTCTACAGGTTTTGTGCACACCTGGCAACTATGAATTACATAGATCAAGTCAAAACCATTCTGCCTTTCTTCTTTTCTCCAGGTATACTCAGCTTCAAGCTGTCTACGGAAGTGAGAAACCCTAAGTTCTTTACAGAAATCAAAGTCGTTTGTGGGACTGTCCCCACTTGGATTAGGGGGCTGAGATTCCCTCAGCATTGCTGAATCTCTGCTAAAAGCGCCGAACTAGCTATACGGAGCCCAAAGCAACGATAATCTGAAATCAGTTATTACTTGGACTTGAATTTCTGGATTCAAAAAAGCAAAAATGTCCAAGTCAGGGTGTAAGAGGAAGTACTCTTGGTTAGAGGAGACTTAAGACTTAGCAGGAAAACCCGCACAACTAAAGAGTAAAATTGGTCATGTGACCTTGGTTGGTGTTACTCCGCTAGCCGGTCTTCATTTATTGGCCTGCAGCTTGGTGGAACAACCTTTCTGGTTCTTGCTCGAGTCATCAGTGATATTCTATCAGCAGGTTTAACAGAAATGCCCCACCCTACCCTAGCTCCTCCTCTGTACAGTTAAGACTCCCAAGGACAAAGAGGAGCTGGGGGCTCTACCCTGACAAAACTGACCCGGCCGAGTCACTCAAAGGCCTCAATTACAACGAGAAACGGAACAGGTCCTGACAGGACTCTCCCTACAAAGCAGATCCCAATTAGCCCCGGCTCCAGCCCTGGCCCGGTGACAAAGTGAGCACATTCGTTCACCCCCACTCCTCCTCCAAACAATTCTTCCCAACTCCGGCGGCACGCCACACCTCTACTCTTGGGCCCTTCGGCCAGAACCGGTATCCCTGACTGGCACCTCGGATGTGACAGTCAGACCGGGCCCGGGCCCGGGCGGCCGGGGACCGCAGGCCGGCGCCGGAAGGAAGGGCAGCGCGGCACATGGCCTAGCCGCTTCGGAACGGCTGGCGGCCGGCCAAGGCCGGGCCCCTTTAAGGCGCGGAGGGGTGCGCTCCGGGGCGGGAGGGAGGCTCGATGCCGGAGGGCCTGCGGTCGCCTCAGCCCCACCCCGCGACGACGCGCTTCCCTCCCTGAGCCGCTCACCTTGGCTCCCCAGAGCCGGGCTGCCGCAGTGAGGAGAGCCATGGCGGGCGAACTCCGAGACGTGGCGGGAAGGAAAGCGGAGAGAGAGCTGCAGCTCCGACAGGAACGGCCGCCGCTGCAACGGAGACCGCGCCAACCGGCGGACAAGGTTGAAAGAAGGCGGCTGCGGGAGACGGTAGACGAACCGGCAGAGGCGCCCAGCCCAGGGTCCTCAGCGAGGCCCCGCCCACCGGCCGAAACCCGATCCCGCCCCTCGCCGGGGAGTCCCCATGGACTCGGCCATTGGACCGAGGTGGAGGGGGGGCGGGACTTGAGCCACTGACAGATGTTCTGGCGGGGAGGATTGGACCATGCGGATTAGGCTAATTAAGAGTGGGTGGAGAGGGGACCGTAGGTGTCTTAGGATGTGCCTGAGAACTCAGTTAACTTCCTTCTTTGGCTTTTCCCTTTGCCCTTAACACATTTCGGATTCTCGGGAGAATGCGAAAGATACCGCTCCAGCACACGACTTTTGAAGGTCACAGCACACAGCAACTGACCATTGCATTCCCCCACCCGCTTGGCACTCTTCTTAAAGAATGTCTTTGGCTAATGACTTCATGACCATGGAGGTGACATCGTGTGGAAAGCAGGCTATGATGCCAAAGTTGGCTGCTTAATGAAGGTGATTTGAGAACAGCAGAAATTCTGGTATTGTAGATACGGACCCCACTATGTGGAGAAGAGCAAAAACAGGGGCCTGAATATTTAGTGCTATTTGTGAACTGTAAGGAATCTAAGTCTTACAAGGCCCTCTTAATGTGAAGGCGCCTGCATCTTTCAGTCTTTGGGTCCTGGACATTATTACTCTGTCATTCTTCATACAACCCCATAGAGCCAGCCCATCCCACATTCAGCCACAGGCTGCAGATCTGCCTTCCGTCCAAGATCAGGCATTAGACACTCCCTGTTTTTGTCACATCATCCACAGTATTTCCAAAGGGCTCTAGGACACTTCTCCCACTTGGCTCTCTTACCCTCTGCTCCTCCAGAAACTATTGCACTAAATGACAAAAGAATTGAAAATAATCTTACACATCACTCCTAAGCTCCCTGGGTAGAACACCTCAGAACTTTAGTACTTTCCTAAGCCTATCTTTGTAATTGACCTAAGGGTGGAGAGAAACTGACCCAATGATCAGGGCACCTTATCTACAAACCCCAAGCTCCAAGTGAACAATCCTTTTATCTTCCCACACGGAGGTAGCAAAGTGCAGAGGTCTCAGCACCCATGAAGTCAAAAGTTCTTGTTTATAGAGGATGTAGTTTGTGGCTGAGACTTGGAAAAGGAGAAAGAAAACCCTCATTTCCCCCAATTCTCTCATAGGCAAATTGAGACCTGCCCAGCAGTTCTTCTGGCCTGGAAATCAGGTAGTTCTTAGGAGAGGAACCACACCCGGGAGAAGCAACGACCCCAGCTAGCACCCTAGGAACTTCAAAGTTTCACTGATCAATATTTGCTCCCAATTTAGCATCTCACATAGAGTTTCCTCATAACCCCAGAATAGTCTGACCTGGCTGATTCCCCCTAGTTAATTATCCACAGAGACCAGCTAGCAGATCAGAGGGCTGAACTCCAGTGCCCTAAGAAAAAGAGGCTTTCCCCATCAGGTGAGACTATGGGAGAGACAATTATTGGGTGGCCACAATAGTAGCTGGAGTTTTAATAACTGCAAAGAGAATCTGGGGACATAAGTGTTTTAATTCCCTTGGTGTAGGGTCCTGGATTTTAACATCCAGATTTATTTTTATTTGAAGTTGTTCGATCCTGATATTATAAAGTAAATGTGAAAGTTAATATTATAAAGTAAATGTGAAAGGCCAAAGTTGAAAAGGACCACGTGGACCTTCCAAAAGCTGAGTCTATGTTATCAGTCTCTATTTCTGGAGTTAAAAATGTAGATTCTAAACTGGTTGTTTAGAATCCCATCACTTGGGAGGCAGAGGATAAGTGAGTGTTAGGCCAGCTTGGTCTACAGAGTGAGTTCTAGGACAGCCAAGGTTACCCAGAGAAATCCTGTCTTGGGGATTAAAAGTGGCTTCTAACATGCTATACTAATACTCAAACAGTAAGCCACACCCCTAGCCTACAGTCTCTTTCTGAACATAAGTGGAAAAGTTAAGGCTTCCATGAATATAATAGCTAAGTAAATTCTAGGCCCAAATATAACCAAGTGAGTGAGAACAAGAAGGGACCATAAAGAAGGCCCAGACTTGACCTCATTGTGACCTTGGGAGGATTTAAGAGGCACAGGGACAATGGTGCCCCCTGGTGGTCCAAAACAAATAGGAGCGTGCAGGCCCCAAAATCTCCTTAATCCCTTAACATTGTCTACTATAGGTAAAATAAACTTCCTTACTTGGTAGACAATAGCTTGCTGTCTGTGTGTGTGTGTGTGTGTGTGCGCACGCGCGTACATGAACATGGGTATAGTTCCGTGAGTCTTACACATGCTAAGTCATGAGCTATATACCAAAGCCCTGTTTTTGAATTTTGAAGCCAGGAGTGGTGGCAAATGTAAATAATCCCAACATTTCGGAAGTGGAGGCCGGAAGATCTGGAGTTCGGAGTCATCATTGGTCACAGAGTAAGTTCAAGGACAGCCTGGAGCATGTGAGACCCTGTCTAAAAGAAAAAATAAATTTACTTTGTGGCAAAGGCTCACTAAATTGCTCAGGTTGGCCTAGAACTTCTGATCCTCCTATCTCAACCACTGGAACAGCTAGGCCTGCCATGCCCAGCTGACAAAAGGTGTACTTAGTGCTTACTACATCAAGTTACTATCTAGCTATAATACATGAGTCATTGTAATTAATCCCCACAACTTGAAAATATGTAGTAATAGCAACTTTAAAGAGGAGGAAACTCAGATAAAATATCTTGCCAAAGGCCATTGCTCATAACTGGCCTAGAATTCAGACTCAAGTCAATCTCATTCCAGAGCCAATATCTGCCAGACTTTACCATGTACTCAATAGATGCTGGGATCAAATCCAAGACATCCTGCATACTAGGCAGGAATCTTACCACAGAGCCACACCCTGGCCCCAGATGATGTCCTGGTGACGGAGACGTTGGCATAATGCCTTGCTATAAAGATGCTTTGTAAGATAAGAAGTATGCAGTCTCACCCACCTGTAAAACCTTTGCATGTCCTTCACTGATATATATATATATATATATAAAACCAGAGACACCCACCCTAGTACATATACAAGATGATTTTAAAAAAAAGAAAAAGAAACCTAGCAGCTAAAATGACCAAGGTAAACAAGATGGACGCCATCTTCCTTGCAGTGGCAGGGATCAAACACAAGGTTTCAGGAACACTAGGCAAGTGTTCCCACATGTGAACTACATCCTATTCTGGTGGAGAAACGGTGGTTTTTTTTTTGTTTGTTTGTTTTTGTTTCTTTTTTTCTTGAGACAGGGTTTCTCAGTAGCTATGGGGCCAGTCGTGTAACTCGCTCTGTAGACCAGGCTGGCCTAGAACTCAAGAGATCCACCTGCCTCCGCCGCCAGAGTACTGGGATTAAAGGCGTGCACCACTACCACCTGGCTGAGAAACAGGGTCTTATACTATTGATCAGATTGGCTTCAAATTCCTAGGCTCAAGCAATCCTTGTACCGCAGCCTCCCAGACGGTTGACAACTGCGTGTACTGCTCTACCCAGCTCTACCCAGCTCTACCCAGCTCTACAACAGGCTGCTGCTTTTAGACAATCTGGCCTTGAAGTCATGATTGTTCTCTCGCAACCTCAAAATGGGCGTCTGGAAAAGCAGGATGTAAAGCTTTTCTCCTAGTGATTATTAGCACTCAGAACATGTGCATTCGAGCTAGGAGGTCATTTTCAAACACATTTTAGAAGTTTTCCTCTTATACAACTATTAGAGATTGCATGGAGACTTCATAAAGGGGGATGTAGCAGAAAGGTCACTGGCTTAGGTGATCAGAGGCGGCGGGGTCTTCAGCACTGACTAGCAAGACCACTTAACCTTGCGAAGTTTGCTTCTTCATCTATATAATAAAATAATGACACAAGGCAAAGGGAATGCCTTGAATCCCAGCACTTTAGAGGCAGAGAGACAGGCATATCTCTGAGTTCAAGACCAGAGATTCCTGATCTATATCCAAGATAGCCAGGGTTACATAAAAAGACCCTATCTCAAAAATAAAAACAAAGAATAGCGGGGTATGGAGTTGCATATCTGCAACCCCAGAACTTGCGGCTGAGGCAGGAAGATTGTGAGAGACCAGCCAGGGTTATATAGCAAGACCCTGTTTCAAAAACACCTCCAAGCAAAAAGTGGTGGTACACCTTTAATCCCAGCCCCTGGGAGGCAGCTGTACATTGGTCTACATATAAAGAGGTCCATCCCAGTCAGCCAGGACGACATAGTGAGATCCTGTCTCCAAAACAAAATAAAAATTCCATCAAAGGAATAATTCCTGTTTTAGTGGTTTTCTTTCTTTTTCTTTTCATTGTTGTTGAGAATAAAATTCAAGAACTTGCACATGCTGGGTAAGTTCTTCTTCCTTCTTCTTTCTCCTCCTTCTTTTTTCTTTAGGTTTTTTTTGAGACAGGGTTTCTCTGTATAGCTTTGGAGCCTATTCTGGAACTCACTCTGTTGACAATAGTTTCTGTCCCGCCCAGTCCCGCAGCCACTCAGTCCCAAAGAAACACACAGAGGCCTACATTAATTATAAACTGGTTGGCCTATTAGCTCAGGCTTTCTTATTAACTAGCCCTTACATCGTACATTAACCCATTATTCTTGTCTATGTTAGCCATGTGGCTTGGTACCTTTTATCAGCAAGGGATTCTCATCTTGTTTCCTCTGTGATGACTGCAGACTGACTCTTTCCTCTTCCCAGATTTCTGCTGTTCTGGTCGCCCCACCTCTAATTCCTGCCTGGCTACTGGCCAATCAGCATTTTATTTAAACAATACAATATAAGTGACAGGGTACAAGACCATTGTCCCACAGCAACACTCTGTAGACCAGGCTGGCCCCGAATTCACAGAGATCGGCCTGCCTCTGCCTCCTGAGTGCTGGGAGGCAGCACACAAAACAAAACAACACAAACAAAAAGTTACCAAGAGCTGGAGAGATTGCTTGGCAGGTAAGAGCACTTGCTTCTTCTTGTTTTGTTTGTTTTTTGGGACAGGGTTTCTCTGTACCCAGGAGTTTGCTCTGTAGACCACTCTGCGTCCACAGTCCTGAGTTAAAGATGTGCGCCTCCACTCTACCCAGTAACTTGCTGCTCTTATAGAGGACCTGGGTTTCATTCCCAGCACCTATGAGTCTGACAGCTCACAACCGTCTCTAATTCCAGGTCCAGGTCCAATGTCCATTTCTTTTTTATGTATTTTTTTTAAGATTTATTTATTTATTATGTATATAGTGTCATGTGTGCATGTATGCCTGCTGGTCAGAAGAGAGCATCAGAGCTCATTACAGATGGCTGTGAGCCACTGTGTGTGGTGGCTGGGAATTGAACTCAGGTCCTCTGGAAGAGCAACCAGTGCTCTTAACCTCGGAGCTATCTCTCCAGCCCCCTTCCCGATATCTTTTTCTAGCTCCCAAATGTACCGCACCAGCATATATCTAGTGCATGTACATTCATGTAAACATTCACAAATACACATAAAAATTCTTTTTTCTTTTTTTCATGACAAGGTTTCTCTGTAGCTTTGGAGCCTGTCCTGGAACTCCTCTGTAGACCAGGCCTCAAAGTCACAGAGATCCACCTTTCTCTGCCTCCCAAGTGACATTTTTAAAAAATATATCTTTTTATCAGGCAGTGGTGGACTATAGCCTTAATTCCAATACCTGGAAAGCAGAGAGGCAGATAGATCTCTGTGAGTCCAAGACTATTCTGGTCTATAGAGTGGGCTCCAAGACGACCAAGGCTACACAGAGAAACCCTGTCTCAAAAACTAAAACAAACAAAAAGTTTCTTGAATTTGGTGGCACATACCTTTAATACCATCACTCAGAAGGAGAAGCAGGTAGATCTTGGTAAATAAAAGGTTACAGAGAGACAAGGACAGCCAAGACTATATAAAGAAACCCTCAACAAAAAACCATAAAAATAAATACATCAGAGGCTCACAACCAACACCACCTCCAAGAGGATCTCCAACTGTGGACACATGCACTCATGTGCACAAACTCACATGCAGACACATAAATAAAAAATAGTAATTTTGATTAAAAAATAGTAAATTAATTTTTCTTTTTTTTTTTTTAACAAAATCAGTGTTGCAAAGATCAAATGAAAGCATGCTGGCCGTGTTGGCATGTATCTGTGATTTCATTATTCAGGAAACCGAAGCATAAAGACTTGACACTGAACACCAGCCTAGGTTACATAGACTTTAGAACAGCTTGCACTATATAACCACACATAGTTTGTTCCCTGTGCCGCCCGACCCCCCCACAGAGTATTAAGGAAATATGCTGGTTTTTGTGTGACTGAATATTTAACGTATGGTATGTTTCCTTCCCTGTGCTATTAATCCCTGTCCAGCACGGCAGCACATGGTGGTAGCCCCAGACCTTGCAAGGCTGTGACAGGATGATGTCAGGCCTCAGGACAGGCCTGGGAGTATCAGATCAGCCTCAGAGTATAGCAAGACCTTGCCTCAAATAAACAACAGTAATAAAGGACCTGGCTTCAGCTTAGTGTGGGCAAAGCCCTGGGTTTGATCCTCTTTCAAATATTGTTTCTTTAGGCAGGATCTTACTGTACAGCATGGGCTGATCTTCAACTTGAGAGCCTTCTGCCTCCACCATCCAAACGATCAGATTACAGGCACAGGTGCACTACACGGTAAGACTTTTCTCTACTGGGATTCTGTTTCATTGCATAGGTTGGTTTCCACCTCGGCCTCTATAGCAACGGGAACTACAGGCGTGGGAGACTGAATGATACTGCTGAAGGATGGCATTTTCCTTCTAATTTTTAAAGTTTTATTTATTTTATGTATATGATGCTCTATTTGCATGTACACCTGCACACCAGAAGAGAACACCAGATCCCATTAGAGATGGCTGTGAGCCACCATGTGGTTGCTGCAAATTGAATTCAGGTCCCCTGCAAGAGCAGCCAGTGCTATTAACCACTGAGCCATCTCTCCAGACCCCTGCATTCTCTAAAATTAAAAATTATTTATGTGAGCTACACGAGCGTCTAGCATCCATGCAAGTCGGAAGAGGGCATCAGATCTTCTGAAACTAGACTTACGACAGCTGTGAGCAGTCATATGGGTGCTGGGAACCAGTGTTCTAAACCACTGTGCTGGGGCTGGAGAGATGGCTCAGAGGTTAAGAGCACTGACTGCTCTTCCAGAGGTCCTGAGTTCAATTCCCAGAAACCATATAGGTGGCTCATAGCCATCTATAATGGGATCTGGTGCCCTCTTCTGGCAGAATACTGTATTTTTAATAAATAAATAAAATCTTAAAAAAGGGCAACATCATTTTAAAAAAAAATGTTAAACCACTGTGCCATCTCTCTAGCCCAGGACTATTTTTTTCATATAAGATCCTGGCTACATCCAGACTCTGTCTTTTGGAAATATTTATTGAAGCTCTTCAACTTACTAATAAATAAATGAGAAGATATCTAAGGCTTAAAATAGAACTTGATCTACAAGATCAAGAATATAGATTTAGGGGGCTGGAGAGATGGCTCAGCGGTTAAGAGCACTGCCTGCTCTTCCAAAGGTCCTGAGTTCAATTCCCAGCAACCACTTGGTGGCTCACAACCATCTGTAATGAGGTCTGGTGCCCTCTTCTGGCCTGTAGGCATACACACAGACAGAATATTGTACACATAATAAATAAATATTAAAAAAAAAAAAAGAATATAGGTTTAGCCGGGCAATGGTAGACGCTGCTGTAATTTCAGCACTCAGGAGGCAGAGGCAAGCGGATCTGAGTTTGAGGTTAGCTTAGAATAGAGTGAGTTCCAGGACAGACCGAAATCTTGTCTTTAAAAAAGGGGGGTAGGGCTGGAGAGATGGTTCAAAGGACCCGAGTTCAGTTCCCAGCAACCACATGGTGGCTCACAACCATCTGTAATAATATCTGATGCCCTCTTCTGACTAGCAGGCATACATTTAAGCAGAACACTGGATACATAATAAATAAATAAATAAATCTTAAAAAATCCTATGTTCCACTCCCAGCAACCTCATAAAGCCAACAATAAAAACAAAAAGTTGAACTATTCCTTCAGATGCCCTAAGGTATTACTGAGACAAGAATGTTTCTAAACTCTGATACATTTCAACATCAGTATATTTAAGAAGTTTCAAGAGGTAGGTATCTTAGATTTTCCACACTATGTCCGGGACAGAATAGTCTACTAGATTATCAATGGCTTGTGATACGTGAGGGTAAAATCTTTCACGGTAGCCGGGCGGTGGTGATGCACACCTCTAATCCCAGCAGGAGGATCTCTGTGAGTTTGAGACCACTCTGGTCTACTGACCAAATTCCAGGACAGTCAGACTGTTTCAAAGAGAAACTGTCTCGAAAAACAAAGAACAAAAAATAAAAAATAAGCAAGAAAATCTTTCCCAGTAAAAAGTGTTTATATGTATGCATACTTTGCCTGAATGCTTGTCTGTGTACCACTTGTACACCTGGTGCCCAAAGAGACCAACAGAATCAGATTCCCTGGAACTAGAGTTACAGACGGTTGTGAACTGAACTGCCATGTGGGTGCTGGGAATTAAACCTGTGACCTCTGAAAGAGCAGCCAGTGCTCTTAACCGCTCCACCATCTCTCCAGCTAAGTGGGAGGAGTATTTTCAAAACAGGGCCTCACTATGTAGCCTAAACTAGCTTCATACTTGTAATCCTCCTGCGACAGCCTCACAGGGGCTGGCACACTTTTTTAAGTGAATTGTAATAGTTTTTTGTTTGCTTTTTGTTTTTTGCTTTTGGAGACAAGGTTCCTCTGTGTAGCCTTGGCCATTTTGGAACTCACTCTGTAAACCAGACTGGCCTGGAATTCACAGAAATCCTCCTGAGTACCCCAACACTGCCCAGCAGTTTCCCAGGATGTTCATATATTAGACAAGTATTTCACCACTGAGATATCCCATGCAAAACAAAGATACACTTTAATTGCTGCTGTTTGCATCAAACCCAAAACTTAGGGCTAGCAAGTAAGGCCTTTCATTACGCAACACGCCTTACCTCCTCTGTCCCTATCGAAGAAAGCCCTGTTTTTCAGCTGAGCTGGTCACATCCATTTTCCCCTTCCTGTCTCTGCTCTTGCTGGTCCCTCCATCTGGAAGGGCAGAGGGAAGAATAGTGTGTCTCCATTATTTCCTTCTAGATCAGTTCCGAATTCCCACCTCCAATGTCTTCTCAGCACAAACACAAGGACTCCCTACATCCTCAAGTTACGTTCCTCTGCTCACACAGCTGTCCTCTTCTTCACAATGCCGTAGCTACCACACAGAACACTGAGTACCTGTGAGTAGTTAGTTACCTATGCTTTAGAGATGGGACAGGATCCCAGAAGACCAAGAATTAAAGGGCCAGGGCCTAACTTTATGCTATCCCAATCCCTACAGTCTGCCCCTCCATTTTCTGTCTCTCTGCAATCCCCTACCTCCAAACCTAACATAAAGGCTAAATTTGGGCATAAAAAGACAACACAGTTTGTAATTTTGGTTCCAGACATTCTTTCAGTTCATTTCCATAAAAACATAAGAAAAAGGCAATGCCACCATAGTCCCCTCCTGGGGGTGTTCCATCAAGTTGGTCTCAGCTGCTCCAGTGATTCATAGCTCGTCATGAGATCTCTGCAGGGCATGGTCACAAAGATCTGCAAACAGCACGTAACGGTTTAAAGGGAACGGCCACTCTCGCACACATACCCCTTCCAAGAGAACACCCCAAGCCAAACCGACACCCACCACCATTCTTCAAAGAACATGTTTAAAATGACAAATGACCCCCGCTGCTCTCTCTCCTCTGTCTAAGGCAATGGAGACACAGATTCTGAAAGCTGAGAGGTAGACCAGAAAGAGATGACTCCAACCCCAAGGGCATGGGGAGCCAGCTGTGGGGCATCAATAGGAGGTGTGTGGGCACACTATCCTGTGTGGTAAGGGTGGGGCTGTGAGCACAGGAAGCAAAGGGGAGAGGCTTACCTGTTCGTTTACTGCAAAGTTTGTCTTTAACGTTGTCAGCCTCTCGGGAAAAGAACTCAAGAAGTTCATCTTCATACTCCTCCACGATGCTCTCACACTGTCAACCCGAGGGCGAGAGAGGTGACATGGGGGGCAAAGACACTCACCCAACTCTCCACTTGGTGTTTTTGGGGGGATTTTTGCAGGCAAGGTCTTACTAGCTGGCCTGGAGCTCACTATGTGGACCAGGCTACCCTCAAACTCATGGTGATCTTCCTACCTCTGCACCTCAAGTGCTGGAATTACAGACATGCAACACAGACCCGCCTCCACCCTCCAACTTCTGCCCAAAATCCCTGCTGATTTCCAAAAACCAGCTACTCACCGCAAACTTGAGGGTGCCACTGATATCTGCATCAATTCGGATGCCCTGTAAGTCTAGCTCACTGGACTCTCCATTCCGGCTCACAACACGGACATAGTTCTTGCGGTGGGTGGAAGGGTCAATCTGTTCCCCATACTCCTTCATGCGGTCACACACCTCCTCGAGCAACTCTGTGAGGTGGGCCTCTGAGCGGGCATAAGGTACCTAGAAATACACTCAGCCTTTGGTCACTCCCTTTTACAAACTTACTTTCCCTTTTAAATCTAGCTCAAACAACTCATTAAAAAAAAAAAAGAAAGAAAGAAATCTTCCCTAATAGTTATAGTTTCTATGTCTGTCTGTCCTTCTTCCTTTCACACGCATATATTTTTGTTGGTCTTTTGGAATACCTCATCCTGTGGCACTGACTGGCCTTGAACTCATAGAGATTCACCTGCCTCTGCCCCTAAGAACTGGGAGTAAAGGAGTGTCGTACCACTCTGGGCAAATGTACAATATTATTTTACCTGATTATAAAATCCCAAGGAATAACACAAGCACTATTAACTAAATTTTAGGTAGAAACCACTTCAATTAACTGTAATCAGCTGTGCTGCTTTGCTGTAACTTCCTCAGTTCTGGCAGGCACAGGTAGCAAACCTCTGTTCAAGGCCAACCTGCTCTACATAGTGAGTCCCAGTTGGGACAGGCAGAGCTGCAAAGACAGACCTGGCCTGAAAAAATAAAAAATAAACAAGCAAACGAAAACTGAAAAGGTAGTATAGGTTCTGATGATAGCACACCAACACACTTCCCAAGACTGTTTCCTTTTAGGGGCTAGAGAGATGGCTCAGTGGGTAAGAGCATTGGCTGCTCTTCTGGAGGACCTGGGTTCAGTTCCCAGCACCCACTTGACAGCTCAAAACTGTCTGTAACTAAAAACTCCTGGGGATCCGACTACCCCACACAGACAGGCAGGCAAAACACCAAAGTAAAAATAAGTCGTTTTAAAAAAGAATGTTTCCTTGTATATTACTTACTAGGTATAACTTTGTGTATGTATGTCTTATTTTTTTTTAACGTTTATTGGTGTTTTGCCTGCATGTGTATCTGTGTGAAGGTGTCAGATCCCCTGAAGCTGGAGTTACAGATGGTGCTGAGCTGCTATGTGGGTGCTGGGAATTGAACCCAGGTCCTCTAGAAGAAAAGCCAGTGCTCTTAACCACTGAACCATCTCTTTAGCCCATGTATGTATGTGTTATGTTTCCAACTAATATAAATTCCTTAAATACAAATATTTTCTTAAAAAAGATTTTTTATTTTATGTATGAGTGTTTGCTTGCATTTATGCATACCTAGTGCTCACAGACATCAGAAGAGATGTCAGATTTTTAGAATGAGTTATGAGTCACTACGTGGGTGCTGGTATCTGAACTGAGTACCAAACAGCAAGTGCTTCTAACCATTGAACCATCTGTCCAGCTCCAAGGAAGACTCTGAGCACATGGAAGGATTACAGATGAGTACCACATGCAGGTTTTATGGGATGCTAAAGACTGAACCCAAAACTGTGCATGCTAGCGTAGCAAGCTCTCATCGGAACTGCACTCCCAGCTGGAAAAGACCTTCTATTCTTTTATAAATAGATGTATGTATCTATACTGCTATAGTGAAACAAGAGTGATTATGAATGAGGGATGTGGAGAAAGGGACTGGTTAAGGCTAACTCCTACAGCAGAAATAATTAACTGAGATTTGGGGCCAGGAGGGACAAAGGTTATGAGCTCCCAATAAGCACAATGGTTCTGTTGTCTGTTTGTGAGGCAGAGTCTCAATTAGTCCAGGCTGGCCTTGAACTCCTGATCATCCTGTCTCTACCTCCCAGTACTAAGATTACTGGCACTCAATACCGTATCTGGCACAGAGCCCAATCTTTCAGACACAGAATGTTCTGGTTGGTTGTTTTTTTGGTTTCTTTTCTCTTAAGACAGTATCTAATTCTGTGGTCCAGACTGGCCTGGGACTCAGGGAGATCCTTCTGCTTCAGCCTCTGAGTGTTGGATTATTACAGGTTATATGCTGCCTGCTTTCTTCACGTCTAAACTAAACCAAGTTCTGAGTTGAAGCCTGGGTGAGCTACTTTATCTGGGGATAGTAAGTTACCTCTACAACTGACTGGCTGCCGTCTGGATTGATCCGGAAGGATCCCATCTGAATGGTCTTCTTGGGGTCCACCCGGGCAATTTCCCACTCTAATTCATCCACCAGAGCCCTGCAAGCTGGTGCCAGGGAAGAGAACAGGGGTGGGGATGAGGAGAATGGGCTCGACCCAGGGACTTCTATCCATCCTTGTCCGGATACCTCCCAAGGGTCGGCTTCCTCCCGCTTCTCCTTGTCTTTGTGCCTTTACCTCCACAGTGTAGATCCTGGCTCCTTCGAGCCCAAGCAGTTCCCAGCAGGACCCCCAAAAGTAGGGCCAGCCAACCCCAGCCTTTCATCCTTAGCGTAATGGGGTCGCTCCACCTGGATTCGTGTGAAAACAAAGCACAGGTGTAAGGAGACAGCTCCATTTCCCCCCTGACTGCCACCCTCCATCCCAAGGCCTTCAGAGGCCTCGGTATGATGGATTCTACTGTCCAGGAAAAGGCCAAACACACACCCGCGGGGCTGGAGATCCCTGGGGGTGGGAATGGGGGAATGGGAAGTGAGAACTCAGTTTCAGATACTCCTCCACAGGTGACGGCCTGGTTACTGATATTTTAGCACTGGACGCTGAGGGCTCACACAGCTATGCAGTAGCTATCGGATGGAGATTATCAATCGTGCGAGGACGACGGGCAGAAAGGGGCTGCCAAGAAGGCACCATCAGTCAGGCCACGAGGCCAGCGAGAACACTCCACAACTAGGGCCCATGCGGACCTAGCACCAAGGGTTCCAGAATCCCCATTTGCACTATTTAAGTAGTTCCCGTGCAGACCGGTCCCTTTTCAAAGGACTCCGCCATTGCTGTCGCTCAGGTCCATCCCCAACCTCAACGTGCCCACAGCCTCAGACGCTCGCATCTGTCCCACCTCTGCTCCCACGGCCGCCGCCGTGGCTCAGGAAAGCCGCCGGACTCTCACTTTGTTTTCTGTGGCTTCCAGCCCTAGCAGCTGTCTGGGAGGAGCGAGGCTGTCCCGGTTTCTCCAGAGCGATTCAGCGCCCGCCAGGTTCAGGGTGGCCAGGGACTGCCTGGCCCAGCGGACCGCACCTAACTAGGCACCTAAGCAGGGATCCGATGGTGCCATGCGAGTCCCCACGGGAAACTGACCCTAAACCCGCCTCTCCAAACTCTCGCGCGAACAGGCAGTTTAGGAGCGCCTCAGAGGCAACGAGGACCCCTTGGAAGGTTTAAGGACCCAGACTTGCGTGGCGAATCCGTTCACGTGACCACCCAAAGAACAAAGGTAGCCTAGCCGAAGGTTAGCACCAAGCTCAAGTGGTGCCTGAGGATAATGCATCAGTCCAGGCGGGCTAGGACTTCCAAGTAGATGCAATTAGTGAAAGCGAGAACTAGATTTCACTAGACAAAGAGTTTATCACAAAGGAAACTACATTTCCCAGGAAGCACTGCGAAATCAAGCTTTGACAGTAGCTACAGGTCTTTTTTTTTCCTGGTTTCTTTCTCTCTCTCTCCTCTCTCTCTCTTTTTCTCTCTCTTACTAGTTGTTAGATTCCTCTTGTGCCTTGTTAATAAATTATCGTGATTAGGTATGTATAGGGAAAATTACTTTTGGTACTATCTGCCTTTTCATGCGTTCTTGGAGAATCCTGTAAGTTATCATCTGAGGATGGGGACGGGATGTTAAGTTTATTTAATATTAGCTCTCAGACTTTGAATTTCCTAAGACGATTTCTCTGAATTCCCAGCACATCGCTGATACTATTATAGGTTCTTTGAAGCAGGGTGTTGCTGTGCAGCTCAGGATGACCTTAACTCAACTCCCCATCCCTGGCTAGTCAGAACTGTTAGGATTACAGGTAGACACCAAGCCTGGTTCCACAGGTCTTAAGATAAACTGGATTTATCTTCTGTCTTTAAGGTGTTAGGTAACTACAGCAAAGACCAAACACTGTCCAGGGAAAATTATATTCTCCCTGTTTCCACCCATTTCAGACTCCAACTTTCATTTTTTTTTTGTTTGTTTGTTTTTGTTTTTTGAGACAGGGTTTCTCTGTAGCTTTAGAGCCTGTCCTGGAACTAGCTCTTGTAGAACAGGCTGGCCTCAAACTCACAGAGATCTGCCTGCCTCTGCCTCTGAGTGCTGGGATTAAAGGTGTGCGCCACCACCACCCGGCTCAACCTTCATTTCAAAGTGTGAATCTGAACACAATTTTTGTCTTTGTTCGGTGAACGATGAATAAAACAGAGGGGAGGGCAGAAGTCAAAGAACCCACACCAGCAGTTTTCTAATGAGATAAAAATATTTTTATTTTATAAAACATGCCTTTTTAAGCAAATTTTCTTAAAAAATAAAACAAAACTCAAGATAGAATGTATGGAAGACAGATACTTGTCAGCTCTCGGCGGGAATGAAGCCGTAGCTCAGCTTCCTCCACACTGGTTTGATTGGCCCGTTAGGAGTCCATACGCTGGTCCATCATCTCCCAGGCAGCAGGAGGCTTGTGCTGTCTGCATCTCTTGTACCGGCACTGTCCAGGATTTCAGCTCTCTCGCTGGCTGGGGACTCAGAGTTCTGAGTCTAGGAGCTTTTTTTTCATTTTTAAAAAAAGATTTATTATGTATGCAGTGTTCTGCCTGCATGTATGCCTGCACACCAGAAGAGGGCACCAGATTGATTGCTGGGACTTGAACTCAGGACCTCTGGAAGAGCAGCCAGTGCCCTTTACCTCTGAGTCATCTCTTCAGCCCTATTCTAGGAGCTTTTTGTTTAGATATCAATAATCCAGGATATTTATTAAGAATACCAAGTATTGCTGGGCAGTGGTGGTGCACGCCTTTAATCCCAGCACTTGGGAGGCAGAGGCAGGCGGATCTCTGAGTTCGAGGCCAGCCTGATCTACAAGAGCTAGTTCTAGGACAGGCTCCAATGCTACAGAGAAACCCTGTCTCGAAAAAAAACAAACAAAACAAAAAAGAATACCAAGTATTTTCCCCTGGGTCAATTTAGGCTTTGCAGAGGATAAGGAGGGAATCTGGCTTCCAGACCGACTGGGACAGTTTTGCTGCTTTCCAGTTCTGTGAACAGCACCATCTGCAGGCCCTGAGCAGATCCAGTTCTGGAGTGGAGAAGCCGTCTCTCAGGCAAGGGCAGCTCAAAGTGCCAACACTGAGGGGAAGACAGCTGTATCTGTCAGGAGACAACCAGGGAAACAAAGGGTGAGCAGAGACAGCATCGAGACACTTACTATGAAGACAGAACACAAGGAAGAGGAGGGCACAGCATGGATCTTCTTCAGACATTTTAGGCTGGGCAACTGGCTTTAGACCAATGGATAATTTAAAAAATAAAGTCCAGGGGGGAGGGGAGAGGCAGGGACAGAAGTAGAGAAAAATGTAGAGCTCAATATATATCAATTAAAAAAAAATAAAGAATGCTCCTATACAAAAAAATAAATAAATAAATAGCTGGGCAGTGGTGGTGCACGCCTTTAATCCCAGCACTCAGGAGGCAGAGGAAGGTGGATCTCTGAGTTCGAGACTAGTCTGGTCTACAAGGGCTAGTTCTGTGACCAGGCTCCAAAGCTACAGAGAAACCCTGTCTCGAAAAATACCATGCCTTTAATCCCAGCACTCGGGAGGCATAGGCAGGCAGATCTCTGTGAGTTTGAGGCCAGCCTGGTCTACAAAAGCTAGTTCTGGGACATGTTCCAAAGTTACAGAGAAATACTGTCTCGAAAAAAAAAAAAAAAGACAGAAAGAAAGAAAGAAAAGAAAATGAGGTGATCTGTAAACGGTCAGTTGCTTCATGAGTAGGAGGTAGGAGTACATGCCACCAAAACCCACCCACTCCAGCTTCCCTGGTCTCAACCCAGCCTTACTCTTGGGACTTGTCTGGCTTTCAGGCTCAGGCACCTTCCAGTCCATCTTCCGGCCCTTCTCATAAAGACCCTTGAGCACCTTGTGGAAGGACTCGGGTTCAGTGCCGTTCTTGCTCAGCTCCAGGTACTTCCGGTAGAGTTGAAGTGCTGTGCGGGCATCCTCAATGCTGTCATGGGTCTCACCTTGAATCTTCAGGTCTGCATAAAATACAATGCTTAAGGACCTCATAAAGGAGGTACTCCATTTCTGACACCCAGAAAACTCCCCTACAGGTTCCCCTAATCCCATGCAGATTCCCAGTCTCCCAGAAAACATCTTTTTTTTTCCAATTATTTTAGATTTATTTTATATGTATCAAGTGTTTGCCTGCATGTATTTATGTACAGGTGGGTGTGTAGGTGTGCATGGTGACCATGGAGGTCAGAAGAGAGCTCCAGATTCCCTGGAACTGGAGTTATAGATGGTTCTGAGCCACCATGTGAGTACTGGGAACTGAACCTGTAGGTCCTCTGCAAGAGCAAAAGGTACCTCTTAACCATACAGCCAACTCTTCAGCCCCAAAAAATATGTTACTGACAGCTGCCTGAAACCATTAGCAGAAAACACACTTTAATTCTAAGCTGAGAAATCACTAACTGCTCTTCATTCCAAAGACCCCTGCTCTGTTTCTGTTGGAGTTTTTGCTTCTGTTTTTGTTGTTGGTTTTTTGGTTTTTCAAGACATGGTAACAGTCCTGGCTGTTCTGGAACTCACTCTGTAGACCAGGCTGACCTCGAACTCAGAAATCTGCCTGCCTCTGCCTCTCATGTGCTGGGTTTAAAGGCGTGTGCCACCAGTGCCTGGCAAAACTTTTTAAGACAGTATCTCCCAGTATGGCCCAGGCTGGCTTCAGATTTCTATAGCTGAAAGCATTAGCCTCCTTATGAAGACAAGGTCTTCTGTAGCCCAGGCTGTTCTTGAACTCATTAGCTATAGCTGAGACCAATGTTGAATTTGTGTTTCTTCGGTGTCTACAAATCCTGAGTTATGGCTGCAGGCACGCATGTACCACCATGTCCAATAGGGCAAATACTATCGACTGAGCTCTATACCCTGCCCCCAGTGCTCTCTACTATTAATCAGTACATACAGGGTATACAAGGTAGAGCAGCTCACCTAGAAAGTACCAAGCGAGAAACCGTAGGGAAATCATTCGCTTTCGGGGCATGTGGAACAGGTAGACTGTGTCAAGAACTTGGTCCTTGGGCACCTGGCAGGGATCAAAAGAGCAGAAGACTTAAGATAAATGATCCATACTCTCCCACTCTTAACACAAAATATATACACTAAGAAGTCCACCTTCAAAAGTAACTCCTGCTGGACAGTGGTGACGTACACCTTTAATCCTAGCACTCGGGAGGCAGAGGCAGGCAGATCTCTGTAAGTTTCAGGCCAACTCCTGGTCTACAAGAGTTAGTTACAGGACAGGCTCCAAAGCTACAGAGAACCCCTGTCTCAAAAAACCAAAAAATAAAAAATAAAAAAGTAACTCCTAAGTCAGCAAGATGGCTCAGCTGGTAAAGGCATTGCCACCAAGCCTGACAATCCCAAGGATCAGCACGATGGAAGGAGAGAATCCACTTCCACAAGTTGTCCTCTGACCTCTACACATGCAATGTGGGACTCTCAGGAGCTGTATGAGCACGCAGACACACACACACACACACACACACACACACATAAATGTAATTTTGTTTTTAAAGTATGGTGCATGGGAGTGGTAAGAACAGATTGTGAGGAAAGAAGGCTGTACATTAAAGAAGAAAAGATGCCAGGCATGGGGGCGTATGACTTTAATCCTAATACTCAGGAGAAGGCAGGTGCATTTCTGTGAGTTTGAAGCTGGCATGCTCAACATAACTAGTTACAGGGCAGTCAGAGCTACACAGTGAGAACCTGTGTCAAAATAAACAAACAAACAAAAATGAAACAAGAAACAACAGTAATACCGTGCGGTGGTGGCGCACACCTTTAACCCCAGTACTCGAGAGGAAGAGGCAGATAGATCTCTGTGAGTTCGAGGCCAGCCTGGTCTACAGAGTGAGTTCAGGACAGCCAGGGCTGCCCAGAGAAACCCTGTCTCAAAGAACTAAAACAAAAAGGCAAATAAAAGAAAAAAGAAAAGAAAAAACAACAGTAGTAACAACAAAAACACTTCTAAATAAACCCTGTCCGAACCATGAGGTTGATGACCCGGAAGTCCTTCTGCAGACCATGACCCACAAACTTGACTCCAATATCAATGAGAAAACGAAGCTTTAAGTAGGTAGACTTGAGAGTTGTGAGGTGCTTGGAGGAAAT